TGATAACAGTGCATCTAAATTCCAAAATCAATCTCCATAATAGTCTATGTGTTTTCTACTGACAAAGGGGCCCTTTAGAGTAGTGAGAGAAGATCTTCACCCTGAAACCTACAGCGTCCCTTTTCAGCAGGAAGTAGCTAAGAGAATATGCTGTCCTCTTTCCTTAATGAATCAGGGTGAAGTCTCTCTCAGGGAGGAGTGATAGGGAATGGCAAAGGACACACTGACAAAGGAGATTAATCAGAACTGACTGGCAATTGGACAATTAAAACAGACATTCAAGGGGGGAGAAAGAGAAGAACGAACTGGGGAGGAGGGTAGAGAAAACAGTGCAACAATGAATGAATGAAAACCCAAAATCTCTGTAAATGTTCATTAAAACTAATAAAATTTAATAATAACAATAATAATAAAACTAAAAAGACCAGAAAAAAAAAAGCCATACTAGATTAAAAAGAGTTGTAATCGACTGAGTGATGTCTTTATATGAAAACAGACATAGAAGGCAGGGAAAAATGACAAATGAGGACAGAGGACGAGTGACAACTCTACAAGCTAAGAGTCAGCTTGGAGAGAGACTTGGAAGATATTTTTCATAGCCTCCAGAAGGAATCAACACTGATGACACTTAGGCTTCAGATGTTTGTTACACAAAACTAGGAGAAAATAAATTCCTGCTCCTTTAAGCCATCACCAGATATTATCTGACCATGTTCAAAGCTATCTTCTATCTATAAGCCATTTGTGTGTTTTTCACAATGATAAATGACTTTAGTCGGTTTCTTATTTTCATACCATCTGCCATATGGCATTTTATTGTATGTATTTAATTATTAGTTATCTGTCTTCTCCATTAGACTGTAAACCCTCTGAAGCAAAAGACATTGTCTTAAAAAAGAAAAGATAATATCTTGTTTATTATTGTAATACAAAAAACAATGTCTTCAAAAAAATATGAACTCAGTAAATACTCTTGAATGAAGGTTTCTTACCTGTTAATGCTTATTATTTAACAGAAAGTGTTCATCAGCTTTGAACAGGATGATTCTCTTTTTAAACTTTTGTAATATAAACAAAATCAAATATTTCATTGAAATGAATAAAAACTGTACAATATGTATACAAAATACATACCTTAGAATAGTCTAACCTTCCCTTCTCTTGAGCCTAAAATTGAAAAAGAAAAGATATTAAATCCTTAGTTTCTTAAAAATTAGTTTTAATATAGTTCTGTTTTTGGAACTGGAGAAAACTCTTTTTGTATGTGTACCAACATAAATACACAGAGAGAGACATGTATATACACATAATTAATGTTATATTTGTTAAAGTAGCAATTTCAAGTAAACCAAGTAGATCCTTTAGATAAGACTGTATTTTTAATTGGCTATCTGTTAGTGGAAAATATTTTCGTTTTTAAAAATAAACAAGTAGTGTGATAGTTTTCAAAATATATTCTGCAGGATTGCTAAATTCTTTTTTGCTCAATCTGTATTCTGAAAAATCTTCAAATATACAGAAAAGTTGAAAGAACAGTACACATGGAAGCTCCATCTAGGCTTGAGAACAGCGGACCTCAGACTCTTTCATCTTACATTCATTAGCACACATCATATAAACACAGAACATCTCATACACATGATTGTTACCAAATTTTAAACAAGGAGCAATAATGTCCTATCATCTAACAGTCTGTATTTGTTGTTGTTGGGCACCATAGAGTTGGAACTGCTCATAGCTGACCCTCTGGTGGGTATTCAGAGACAATTAAATGCATGGGAGGAGACTGCTTATCTTTCTCCTGAAGAGCAGCTGGTGGAGTTCAACCATGTGCCTTTGGGATGATTGTAGTGCAGCTTCTTACCACTAGACCAACAGGGCTTCCTGTTGTTGTCGTGTATCACTGAATCATAACCATTCCTTAGCTTCTTACCACTACGACAGGAGAGCTCTAAAGTATGCCTAATCCAGGCCATAGTCTTTGCAATTACTTGCTATGCATCAAAGAGCTGGATAGTGATTACAGATGACAGAAGAATTGATGTCTTCGAGTTGTGGTGCTGGAATAGAGTCTTGAACATACCATGGACTGTAAAGAAAACAAATAAATCTGTCTCGGAGAAGGTGAAAGCCAGCTACTCCTTGGAGGCTAGGATTTTGAAGCTCTGTCTCACATACTTTGGGGACATGGCCAGGATGGTCTGGTCCTTGGAGAAGGACATCACGCTTGGAAGGGTAGAGGGAAAGCACAGGAGAGGAAGACTCTGGATGAAATGGATTGATAAATAACTGGCATAATCGAGGGAGGAGTGCTGGATTCAGAGAGACTGGCTCAGGACAGAACAGGCTTCAGAGGTGGTGTACACAGGGTCACTAAGGATTGCAGGAGACTTGACAGCACATAACAATAACAACAACAACAACAACAATAGAGTTCAGATCTATTGTTCACAGGATCATTCATTATGAGTTGCACTCTCAAAGGCACTTAGCAATAAGAATGGGTAATGATCTTGATTGAGCATTATTCCTTGTGAGTGTTGGTCACTGAATTACTTCTTTCATGAAGAATCTTCTCATATCTTCTGCCAATTTTGTAACTGGATTATTTGTCTTTTCCTTGTTAAAGTGCTGGAACTCCTTATAAATTTTAGATAGGAATCTTTGGTCAGATATGTCACTGCCAAATATTTTTTCCTTGTGTGGGCTCTCTTTTTACCCTTTTGAAGACTTTTTTGATGCACACAAGCATTTAATTTTTAGGAGGTTCCATTCACCCATCTTATTCTCTCCTGATTGTGCATTTTTGGCTAGGTTTTATGGTTTATTCATGCCATAGGTTATTTAATGGAATAAATAAAATTAATAGAAACCATCATTATTGCTGCTAGATACTGTTGAGTATGACTCACAGAAAAGTTATGAATAGCCAACCTGAACTCTGCCCTATCTTGTGCCATGAACTTGAAAACAAAACCATTCACCTTTTGAGAAGTTAAGGATAGTTCTTATAAAAGACTTCTCTGTTAGGCCAGGGGGATAATGAATCAAGAGAATGTGACACGGCAGCAGGACGACCCTCACTACCCTTACCCCTCCCTGAAGGCCCTGCTATAAAAACCCGTCCAAATACACCCTAAACACGACTTCCTCAGCCTCCCTTTCCAGACTAAGAAACCTCATTTGGAAGCTCCCTTAATAAAACTCCTTTAAGCTGCTTGCTGAAACTGAGGAGGACCTCATACACTTGCTGCAGAGGGTCAAGGACTGCAGTCTTCAGTATGGACTGAGGCTCAATGTCAAGAAGACAAAGATTCTCACCACTGGACCAATTAGTAGCATCAGGATGGGTGGCGAAGAGATTGAGATTGTTCACAGCTTCAGTTTGCTTGGCTCCACGGTCAATACTCTTGGCACCAGCAGCCAGGAAATAAAAAAACGTATTGCGATGGGAAAGTCTGCTGTTAGGGACCTCTCTAAAGTACTCAAGAGCAACGGTGTCTCTCTGGAGACTAAGGTGCACCTGATACAGGTCATGGTCTTTGCAATCACTTGTTATGCATCAGAGAGTTGGACAATGACTAGGGAGGATAGAAGGAGAATTGATGCCTTTGAACTGTGGTGCTGGAGAAGAGTATTGAGCGTACCATGGACTGCCAGGAAAACAAACAGATTCATCCTGGAGAGGGTTAATCCTTGGAGGAAAGGATTCTGGGGCTTCGTCTGACATATTTTGGACATGTTGTAAGAAGAGACAGGTCCTTGGAAAGGGACATCATGCTTGGGAGGGTAGAGGGACAGCGTAGGAGGGGAAGACCCTCTATGAGGCGGAATGATTCAGTGACTGGGGTAATTGGGATGGGTGTGTCAGAGGCAGTGCGATTGGTACAGGATAGAGCAGGGTTTAGGGCTGTTGTACACAGGGTCCCTATGAGTCGCAAACGACTCGACGGCACATAACAACAACAACAACAACAACAACAACCTTTCCTATATTCTGGTCCCATTCTTAAGTCTGCAACCTTATGACTTTACACTCACATTCTTGATTTATTTCGTCCTTGGATCACTTTACTAGTACCTGCTGCACTTTTAAATTGAGAGTTATGTCTGAAGATACTGGAAGTTTACTTTAACATTTTTTGCAAGAATATTGTTGTTGAGTTGGCTTGGACACATAGTGCCTCTATATATAACATATGGGAACTCTGCTCCATCCTCACAATCTCCATTGTGCTTATGCCCATTGCTGTACTTGCTGTGTCAATCTATCCCTTTGCTGGTCTTCCTCTTCTTTGCTCTCTACTTTTCAAAGGACCTGTCCCTCCGGTTAACAAGTTCATGGTATATAAAGGTACACTCTAGATGCCCTTCAGGGAAGAATATCCCATATGAAATATTATTCACTTTCTATAACATCATTTCAGGAGACACAGAATATCAGGCAACCTCATTATTTGCAATGCTATAAAATGTCATTATTTGGTCAAGTTAGCACTGTCATACCTCGGAGATACTGTGGGTTCAGATCTAGACCACTCAGTAAATGGAGTCATACAATTTTTTGTTTCCCAGTGCACAGAAGTGTTGAAGTATAAACGATGGACTGCTAAGAGAGCAAGCGGGTCTGTCTTCAAGAACGTAAAACCTGGATGCTCCTCAGAGGCAAGGATGGTGAAACTTCATTTCAGATATTTTGGAGTATATTGTTACTTTTAAGAATAGGAGTCAGTTCTTGGAGAAGGCATCATGCTTAAAAAGTTGGAGGGTGTAAGAGTATAAGAAAGAATTCTTCAATGAGATAGACAAGGCAATTTGTAATTTCCTCTGGAATGGAAAGAGACCCTGAATAAGCAAAGCAGTCTTGAAAAAGAGAAACAAGGTAAGAGGCATCTCACTCTCTGATCTTAAATTCTACACAGCTATGGTGATCAAGATAGCATGGTGCTGGTACAGTAACAGTCACATAGGACAGTGGAAAAGAATTGAGAACCAAGATATCAGCTCATCTACCTATGGTCAACTGATTTTTGACAAGGAGATAAAGTCAATTAAGTGGGGAAATGAAAGCCTCTTTAACAAATGGTATTATCAAAATTGGAAAACTTTAGCAAGAACTACACCTCATACCATAAACAAAAACCAACTCAAAGTGGATCAAGGACCTAGGAGTAAAAGCAAGGACTATAAACTTCAACAGAGAAAAGCTTGGAAGAACTCTAGAAGCCTTAAATCAACAACATGAACAGTCTCCCAAGCATCTTGAAAAACCTACAATCAGGAGAGAATAAAATAGATGAATGGGACCTTCTAAGAATCAAATCCCTATGCACATCAAAACACTTCTCCAACAGGGTGAAAAGGGAAGCCATAGACTGGGGGGAAAATATATTTGGCAATTACATGTCTGATAAGGGACTTTTATCAAGAATTTATAAAATTCTTTTATAAAGAATTTATAAAATTCTCCAGCACCTCAGTAAGATAAACGTAAATAATCCTACTGCAAAATGGGCACAGAAAATAAATAGACACTTCACCAAAAAAGACATTCAGATGGCAAACACATGAAGAAATGTTAAAAATCCCTAGCTCTAAGAGAGATGGAAATCAAAACAACTATGAGAGATCATCTCACTTCAGTAATAGTAAAGTTCAACAGAGCAGCAAACAAATGCTGATGAGGCTGTGGAGAAATTGGAACCCTTATTCACTGTTGGTGGGAGTGTGAAATGGTGCAATCACTCTGGAAGGCAGTATGGCGATTTCTCAAAAAGTTGGAAAGACAAATACCATTTGACCCAGCAATTGCACTATTGGGAATGTGCCCTTAAGAAACCAGAACTGCCATCCAAACAGATACCTGCACACCTATGTCTATTGCTGCATTGTTTATAATAACAAAGAGATGGAAGCAACCTAAGTACCCATCAATTAATGATGGAGAGAGAAGCTGTAATATATTCACACAATAGAATACTACACAGTACTGAAAAACAAGGAACTGATATTATACAAAATGGGTGACCCTTGAGGACATTATGCTGAGTCAAATATCTCAGTCATAAAAGGACAAATACTGCATAATGCCACTGTTATAAAACAGGACCGACTTGGGGGGTTTGGGGGGAAAATAAGAAAAAGTGGGGATAAATAATGGGCAATGC